TGATCGATTGCTTTTTTGCGTAGTTTAAGTGTCCGAGTCTACGCTAGTACTTTTTACTTTGCATCAGTAAGCAATGGGTAAAGCTAGAAATGACTTATAGATGTCCCATGCAAGGGGACAGCTGATGTCCATACATGTGGGGCAGTGTGGTAATCAGATTGGGCAGAGTTTTTGGAAAACCCTCTGTGATGAGCATGCTATTGACGGGTGAGTTTCAGCTTACAATAAGTCTTACCCCATTAGGAATCTGACGACGTTTTGTGTGAAAGCATTAATTGAGCATTCGGTTGCAGAAGGGGACGCATGACTTGCGAAGAGAGCTTACACGATGACAAAGATGTATTTTTCTACCAGGTGACGGGCTTTATTAATCATGGAGTCATGTTATCAACATCGCGACAATTAACGCTAATTACACAGCATCATCTTGAGCAACTGCTCTTTTATTTGCCAAAATCTTGCTACCGCTGTTGAATTTGTGGCAACAAGGGCGAAAATTCTTTAGTAATGCATATGATACTTTCAAAACGCCCTTTTCATTGATGCATAAAACTAGATTTAGCTATAACCACGCTTTCGCTTCCGAACGCTTTTTTTAATTGCTTACATATTATGCAATATGTATCGATCTCATGCACTGTATAACTTCCGAATTGTTTTCAAGAACGATTAGAATTTCGAAATTGGTTTTCATCGTGTATGGGGTGTGTAAAATCTGCCTAAATTGGATAGTATAACGAAATAACAATCTGTATCAATTTCTGACAATGGATGATTCAGAAGAATCTTGGCGCAGACTGCCTACTGTACATAACCAGTTTGCTAGACTAGTTATTTGTATACTAATTTTCTTCTTTCAGTTCTCTTTGGTACATCTAGAGTTTAAGTTCTCAAGAATCCCAACAAGCTCATTAGCTTGCTTTCTAGGCCGATGACGACCACTACGTTCCTCGTGCAGTTTTGGTTGATCTCGAACCTAGGGTAATTAATGGAATCATGGCAAGCGAAAATTTTAGCAGACTTTTCAATCCCGACAATGTCTACATGTCAACGCATGGAGGTGGCGCTGGTAACAATTGGGCGAGTGGTTATGGGCAAGGAGGGT